AATGAAGATGAATGTTAAGATTAAGAGACTTTATAATTTTAAATAGACTAAATTAAAATATAAAATTATTAATTTTAAGAGAGGCTAAGTCAATAAAGAGGTAGTTAAAATTCTTTTAAATTTGTAAAATTGTTGAATGATTACTTGTGAATCTGTTTTAATAATCACAGAAAATGTTATAACTACAGCTATGAAAATAGCTTTCAGCTTTGTGACTGAAAAAAAGAAAAGAAGGTAACAAGAATAGTTGAAAAAGAAACTATTAATGAATTAAAATGTATTTATAGCTAAACTAGGCCTATTCTGATATTTGAAGAATTCAGAGCAAAATAATTAGTTTAATTAAGCAGTAATCTCAGATAGTTTAATAAATATATTAATTATTAAATATTATAATTAATAAATCATTAAATATAATCTTTATAAAAAGTAATATTTATAGATAATAAGTAGTGGTATTAGATTAATTGTTAAAGAAAATCTTAAACATGTAAATTAAATAATATTTATAGATAGGATAAGTATTTATAAATAATATCTTTAAATAGTTCAATTTGATTCAAATATAAGATAATTTGAACCTAAATTCAATTATAAATCATAAAGATTTTAATTTAAACTAAAAATTTCAGATTAATCTAAAAATTTAATTAAATTATATTTTTATTATTTAATAAGAAACATATTTTTAATTATTCTAATTAATAATCTTTTTATTATTTAATTAGAATAGAGGTTAAAACTGATTAAGATTAATTAATTAATTAATTAATTAAGTCGATTAATCAATTAAAGTATCTTAAAAAATCAGTTAATTAATTAATCTAACTGATTAATTTAACTGATTAATTAATTAATTAATTTAATCAATTAAAAATACAGATCATCTTAAAATAGTACTTCAATAAGTTTTTTTTTAGTTAAATCAATTTTGTAAAAAGAAAAACTAGCTAAATTAATTTTAGTTTTAAATTTTTTTTAAAATAAACCTTTATTTTATATTATATATATCTTTGTAATCATTATAAAGAATTTAACATAGATGATAATAATGATTTTTCTGAATATATTGATTATAGAGACATTAAAGATTCTTTATGTAGGTTATCAAAAGCTACATCTTCTATTACAATTTCTAAAAAGTCATTATTATTAGAATCAACTAGTAGTCAATCAGCAAAAAAATTAAAATTATTTTTTAAATCTAAGAAGAGTTTTGTATGAAATATTTTAAGAAGATTGATAATAGAAAAGTCTGATATATAATAAAAAATGAGAAGGAAGAGTTATGTAATATGATTTATAAATATTCAAGTTCTACATCAAATATAAAATATCATCTGAATTTAATTCATAATATAATTAAGAAAGATGAAGAACAAGAGACAGTAAATATTTTTTTTATTTATAAATAATAAAATAGAAATTAATAATTCTTATAATAATAAGAACTAAAAACACAACAAACAAAAATTAACTCAATATTTAGAAAAATAAGATCTTATAGAAAAATATTTCAATATAAGTTAAATATATTATTGCTTATATTTATTATCACTGATTTCCAACTCTTTCATATCTTAAAAAATAATAGATTTAAAATTTTTCTTTTTGGATTAGATATATCTTATTCTATCCCTTGCGATAAGACAATTAAAAATTTAATTATAGATATATATAAATTCAAAATTAAGAAATTATTATCATTAATAGTTAGTACTTATAAATTTATTTTAATTATAACAGACCTCTGGACAGCAAGAAGTAAAGTAAACTATATCAGAATTACTGGTCATTAGGTAAATGAAAATTTTAAACTATATGATATATTAATTACTATTGAAAATATACAATATTTATATACAGTAGTATCTATATCTAAATATTTAGAAAAGTATATAGAAAATTATTGTTTAGAAAATAAGATTATTTGTATAGTATTAAACAATAAAAATAATATGAAGGATACTGTTAACATTTTAAATCAAAAGAATAATAAGGTACAAAGGTTATCATATGTAGTTTATATATTATAGTTAACAATTATTTAATGCATTAAAATCAATTAATAGACAAGTTAAATATTATAAAAAATTAGTTAAATTTTTTCAATCATCAAAACAGTTTAAACAACTTCAAGAAATACAAAATGGTTTAAATAAAACAGCCAAACTTTAAATGAAAATCCTAATGATAAATCACTTAAAAATCTAATTACAAATATACTTAAAAATATTAATAAAGTGTCAATATGATATAATTCTAAATATAAGTCATAGAAATGATTAATTAAACTAAAAAAGGTAATTATTTGTCTAAATACAACTTTGCATTTTGAAAATGATAGAAATAATAAATTTGATAGAGAATGATTGCAAAAAATTATGCTTTGTAAAAAAGAATAGATTCTTTTAGATGATTATGCAAGCTTTTTAAACTATTTAATAAAGTGATAATTTATTTTAATGAAGTTCAATTTTATCAATATTACCAATTGTTTAAATATTAAAACTAACTTATAAAACAAAAATAGAAGAAAATTATAATATCAATTTTAATAATTTAGATTAATAATATTAATAATATTATTATTAATAATAATAATTATAAGTTATTGAAATTAACAAATATTTTATTATTTATAATTTTTTCAGATACAATAAATTTACATTTTTTGACTTAAATAGAAAATATAAAAGAAGATTTTTCTGATGAATCAGAAGAAGAAAATGAAATTTTAAATGATTTAGAATTAGATAAAACAAGCAATAAACCAGTCATTATTAAGTCTTATAAATATAATTTACATAAAAAAATAAAGAAAATTAATTATAGTGACTCATTAAGGAAATCACAGAATACCTCTAAAGATATATTACAAAAATTTCAACCAGAATCTGCAAATTCTCATCAAATAATTAAAAGAATATTAGTAATAATCATTAAGTCTCTTGAACATTATTGATAAAAACCTAATCAATATGCTTTACTTTCAACAATTCTAGATCCTAGATACAAAGATCTTGAATTTTTATTAGATGATGATTTAAAAATAAAAACTGAAGTTGAATTATAACAGATATATGAAGATTTAAAATTTAAGTTAAATCAAAATGAAGAATCAGAAACATTATCAACTACTAGAAAAAAATTAGTAGATGATTTAATTTTTAATACATTTCATAAAATTAAAAATGTAAAAAAAAGTAAATGAGATTGATAATTACCTTAATAAAATATTACAGAAAAAGCAGATCCTTCTACTAATCCTTTTAAATAGTAGAATCAAAATAAATAAAGATTTTTATACTAACAGTATTAGCATGTAAATACTTGTCTATCCTAACAATATCTGTTTCAAGTGAATGCTTATTTTCAGATACTGAAAATAACATGTCAAATAAATAGATACACCTAGAGTTCTGAATGAGTCGAGTCGAGTCGAGTTTAAAGATTAACTCGACTCGACTCTCTTTTTTCAAGTCGAGTCGAGTCGAATTTATTTTATAAAATCTTTCAATTTGATTTGATTCGAGTTATATAAATTTTAAACTCAACTCGATTTGACTCAACTCGATTTTAACTCGATTCACTTTAAAAAAAAATAATAAAAAAAAAACGAAAAGATTGGGGGGGGGAGGGGAGGGGAAAGGGAAAAAAAAGAGCAAACGATTCGTTATTGTTCTTTTTGAACGATAAAAAAAATCGTTCAAGTCGAACGATTCGTCATCATTCTTCTTGAACGATAAAAAAAATCGTTCAAGTCGAACGATTCGTCATCGTTCTTTTTGAACGATAAAAAAATATCATTCAAGTCAACTCAAGTTAACTCGAATCAAGTCAAGTTTAAATCGAGTCGAGTTAAATATTTAACTTGACTTGAATTTGACTTGACTCGCAAATCATCGAGTCAAAAAAACATAAACTCGACTCGATTTAAACTCGACTCGGCTTATCTGACTCGTGAGTTGACTCGACTCGTCTGGAACTCTAGATACACCTTAGTTCAAAAATTTTTCAAGAAATTCTTTTTATTAAAAGAAACTTAAAATATATTGATATGTTCACACTTATTATTAATAAAGTAAATATTTGAATTGTAATTAAAATATTCTCTTATATTAAACTAATAAATTTTTATTTATTAAATTTAGAAAAAGTTAAACTAATATTTTTATTAAATATTTTATAAATTTTCCATTTTTTTATTTTTTTAACATTATTTATAAATGCTATAATTAAATATTTATATATAAATAAATATTTTGTAAGTAAAAAATTATAAAATGTGTATTTTAAATGAAAATTTATATATTAATCAGTTAATTAACTGATTAATATTATTACAAATTAATTGATTAATTAACTGATTATTATTTGATTATAATAGCTTGTTAATCAATTTTAATCAGTTAAAGATTTTTTGATCAGTTTCAACCTTTAGATTAAAATAATTTTTTTAATTATTTTAATCAAATAATATTTTTATTATTGATTGAAAAAATAATTTTAATTGTTTTAATCAAATAATATATTTATCATTTAATTGAAAATAATAATTTTGATTGTTTTAATTGAATGATAATTTTATCATTTAATTTGAATAATAATTTTAATTATCCCAATTGAATAATAAAAATATTATTTTATTGGAATAATAATTTTGATTATTTTATTAAATAATTTTTTATTATTTAATTAATAAGTCATTTAAATGATATTAAAAGTTACAAAATATAAAAAAAGGTAAAAAAAATTATATTAAATATAAAAATAGTGAAATATATTAAATCTTAATAAAAATTAGTAAAACTAAAGATTTAAATATTATGTTAATTTTAAAATAGATTTATCCAGTCTTTTATAACTTGTATATCAAATAAATTATTGATAAAAATTTTGATAAAGAAAATAAAGAGAAATTAAAAATAACTGATGATAATGAAGATGATGATAATGATGAATGAGAGGGAAATGTTACAAATGATGATTAATCAGGTTTAAAAATCTTCACTGAATTTAGCACTTATTCAATGATATGAATTTTAAGTCACAAAGTCAATCATATTACTACGGATGTTCTCGATTACAAATTAAAGAATAGAAATCGAAGCATAATATACCACGCGGTTTTCTTTCGCCAGTCTGAATATAATTGTGTTGACCGGATGATGGCTTTAAGATTATAATAAGTGAATAAATAATACTGGATTTATAATTTAAAATGTCAAGAAATAGAATGCAACCAACAGAAACTAATGCTGCTTTGCAATATCAACGGTAAGATCGACGGTTAAAATTTTAGTCCAAGAATAATGTTTTGATGTTTATATAACTTTTTCGGAATTTGCAGAACGTATACGATTACATTTTCGTTGCATATCCATAATTAGAAATTTCATAATATCTTTATTACAACGCGAAACTTCTTACGGAAAAGTTGTTCATGTAAATTTAAATTTTGTTATAAAACTATAACTACTTTTTTGACAGCTCTTTTTCTATAATTTTAGCGTAAAAACCATTAAAATCTACTCTTAATAGAAATTCTTGTAAAAATCCACCACCGGATTGATTATCAACTTTATCATGATAAGATCTTCCACCATCATGACTTGTAAAACTAGTTCTTAAACTTTCACCTTCAGGATTAATAACAATACGTTTCATTCCCATTCCTATTCTTCCACCACCTTTCTCATCTAAAGCCATTAATATTTTTACAAGCATTGCTGTATATAATCTAAACTTTCCATATAAATCTTTAATTGAATTCCAGTATTCTTGTCTTTTTTGCAAATCAATTATTCGCGATCTTTTTCGTTGCAATTTATTAGCAAAGGTTAATATCACTGTAAAAATTCCATTTAGAACCTTCATAATCGCTTCTTGTTTCTTTTTTAGTAAACATTGAAATAGCATACGATCTAATACATGATCATGATATGCACGTAATGATTCGAGGTCTTTTACGCCCTCTCCCATCCCATCGTCATCTTCCTCATCTTCAAATTCATCCGCATTTCCTATTGAAAAAACATCCGATTGTCCATCCAAAAAACTAACCGTATCACTAGTACTTCCACGTCCCCAAAGATGCTCACGAGGTAGTTCAAATTCAGATTCTTTCGCGATTTTATTTAACCTTTTCATAAATAATGTCCATGTAGATGATATTGCGACATCAAATACATAACCATGTAATGCAACAATAAACTGCTGAGCTTCAAATCGAAATTTTTGAACAAGTAGACTATGTTCAGCAGCCTCGTCATCATCATCATACAAATAACGTTCATAAGCAAGCCTATAAACATGTCGTATCACTGTTCCCATACGCAACACTCGCAAAAGAAACGTAAACAATCGATTATATTTTGTTAACGAGTTCGGCGATAGAATGACATTAATCGGATAAGGAGGTTTGTAATCAAGGTAAAGAAAATCCAATGCCTCCAAAGCTTGAAATTTAAAATAAATTAGTTTAATTATATTATTCAATAATATGTTCGGAACATTCGAGACCAACTTCTTTTCGTTTCTTTCGAATTTAAATTTTTCTCTATAAGTAAACAATAATTACCGTTTGGATCACTACAAACTTCGGATTCTTCATAATTATGGATACCAAACATAAGCATATTATCCAAGTCATTAACTTTACCCCATGCATCTATAGTCTCATTAGAGTCTCCATTTTCCAAATTCTTTTTTTCCAAAAGAATAGTTTCTACAATAACAGCCTTTAAAGCCATTCTCCATTCGATTCCAACAGGGGGCCAAGTCTGGCGGCTATTCAATCGAATACCAAGTCCTATACCCATCCCAAGGTTATCATTGGCTGAAAATATACCTACTCCATGATCAACGTTGTCATTGAATAGTGCATCCACCAATCCAGAAACAAAAGTTCCATTTCCCATAAGCATAAAGTCTCGCAAGACACTTAAATGAGCACGAAGGTCAAGATCATGGAAAAAAATCGATAGAATTGAAGCATTAATCAAACGACAATGACAAAGTAAAGTTTGTCGAACAACTAACTCTGTAACAGCTTTCAGAGGAAGAATATATTCGTTATGTGCATAAGAATTTGATGATTGTACTTGCAAAAGGCGTTCAATTAATGCCGTTGTTGGATTATCGTTTATTGAATAAGATAGTGCAAAGTCAACATCATCTGTTCGATGTATACTGAATATATTTTCAATATTTAAAGTGTTACAAGCCTGATCAATTTCTTCAGAAGTTTCTTTCTGAGTCATTGGATAAATATTATCTAATTCAAGGTCCTTATTAGATGTTTGAATTTCAACCGGAGATTCTACAAAAACCGTATTTCTAAGCCTTTCAGTTGGTGGTATTATGATTGAGGGATTTTGTAAGGTTGATGTAGCTCCAGAAACACTCAATTTTTTCTCTGCTAAATATTTCTATTATAATAAAGTTTACAAATTAATCTTATTTATTTTTAGAAAAAAAAAAATAAATATAAATGTTACCTCAACACTTTTCTTCCATTCCATTTTCTTATTTAATCGTTCATCAAGTTCCATTCTTTCAGATTCTTTCCTGAGACTAAATAGTAATTCAGCCTAAAATATCACAACGAAAAATTAGACTAAATATAAATATATGAATAAAGTAAATAAAACTAACTAACATCATGTTTCCTCTTTGTCATTTTTCTCTGATAACGTTCACGAATTCGAGTAATTTCCGCTTTGCGGTGTTCATCTTGTATTACAATTGCTATTGACATATCTTTTGAGTAATTTTGTAGCTGTTCTTTCATTCTATATAATAACCATATATATATATATATATATAAAATATAAATATGAAATGATATTGTAGAATATTTTATAATTGTAAGTTATTACAAATATTACATTGTATTGATTCTTCACCTACTCATCTATGTCTCCTTGAATGAATAACCACTTCATTGTTATATCCCAAGCTTGCTTGCCGGTTGTTTGATCTAATATAACACCCGGATGACACAATGGATGATTTGGGCGACAATCTCGTAACAATCTTAGAGATTTTCCTGCTTCGAGAACATCTCGAGCTAACTCAGAATCAATAAAAGCAGGAAGTGGATGGTCTTCACTTATCTGTGATAGATATAATAAATTATTCACGAATTTACAAGAACTATGCGAGAGCGTTATGTGAGGGAAAAACTTACATGAATTCCACCTTGCCAAAATCCATCCCCATCATTCTTAACATGATTAGAATCAACTTCAAAATTAACAATAAAGAATTCTTCATATGGATCAAGAAAATCACCCTTTTGTAATTCCAAGGGTAATGAAACATAAGGAGATGAAGAACAAACACCTAACCAGGAACTTAGCATATGGAAAAAAGGATAACTTGATTGCTCCAAAAATGCTAACAATATAGATTTCAGAAGTGGAGTTCTTGCCGCATCTATTGACTCTGCAGTTGTGTATAGCTCTGATAAGATATTGGAACCAAATGGCACATAAAACCCTTCATTTTCAATTTGTTCTTTTTGACTTTCTGTCAATTCTAATATCCTCGAATTATCTACATCCTAAAAGTATGCATTATATCATTATATATCATTCATTTATCATATTAATTCGAATAATAGAATTTGTTTAATAATGTAAAATTCGTTAAATTCTTACGCATCGACAAAACGCTGCAATTCTTTCAATTACTAATGAGGCATCGTCTATTATGTGATAAAGTCGAACAATTTTCATTTGATCTTGGGCAGTTATTGTTTCAGCCATTTCAACAATTGAAGTTCGTACAAATGCAATAAAAGAAGAAAGAGATCGTCCAAAGGCAACGCCAGTCAATCCATTTAATCTAAACAAAAAAAAAAAATTATGAAATATAATTATGTAATGAATTATATATAATGTCCAAGAATAATAATAAATATACCGTGCATTCATCATGCACCCTTCGGAAACAGTTTCAAGCCTTTTAATATGTGAACCAAGATTTAAAAATCGTCTCAACATCCTATAAATAAAATATAAATTTTAAGTAAAAATTTTCATATTTTAATTAATAGGTATCTAATTCTCAAAAAATCATATTTCTTTGAACATACTTATTCATACTTTTAGAACTACATCCACTCATACGAAGGGTTGAAAATTTTGAAATGAACCTTCTACTAGATTTATCATAGGTAAATGTTTGGGATGGCGTTCCAATTATTAAATTTAGAACATCTTGGATTAAAACTTCATGAGGAATGGAGAAGTTGGTATAGCCATAAGAATGGTAAAAATGGCTATGATAAACGGATTCAAATACTGAAATATCTGATTCTGTTAAGTACGGTGAAGTCGGATTTTGTTTTAACTTTGATGTTTCAGTTGACTCCCAAGAAAACATTTGTCCCTATGAACAAGGAACAACAAAAAATAAAAACAAAGAAATAAATGTTATACGTAAATATCGAAGTCTTTCATCAAGTTTACTTACTTACCGGTTTCTTATCAAAATCCATTGCTTTCTCCCAGACTGTCTTATTTTCGGATACCGAATTATATGTACTCTCAGACATTTGTGTTGATATAGAACATTGCGTTTCATCATCATCTATATCCAAGTTCTCGGAACTTTTAGTTTGTTTATGTATAAATTGTGAATTTGTACTCGGTAAAGAATTTAATAAGACATCAATCGGTTTAGAAGGCAGCTCGGGTAAATGAAATGAAGGATCAAAGCCTTTATTCAAGTTTAAACTTAAATCCTGATCTATATTTAAAACGAGAAATTAAAGATTGAATAACCAAAGTATTTAATTGTTTGGTTGAACAATAAATACCAAAAGTTGATAATGTTCCACATAGAATTGCACGTATATCAGATACACTATTTTCAAGTTTTTCACTAGAAAATAATTTTTGCAAACTATTGTCATTTATTAGTAAGTCTTCTTCGTTTATCATTATTTCGACTTATTTGAAAAATAAAGGTTCAATTTTGAATTACATATTTTTTTTTTTTTTCGGATTAATAACATTCTTAAAGTTTGTGAAACAAAACCTGCATTTATGCGCGTACGAGAGCGTGCTTCTCATTTTTAGACTATAAATTTGCATCACATGCAATCGCAATTTTACTATATAACAATGCATATTTTTTATTTTTACATCGCATCGTACACCTATTTTTAAAAATACAAATACAAAAAAAGTATCGCGCGCATTTTCACAAAAAAGCTTGGACACGTGATTTTGATACAGAATTTGATAAATAATTAATTAATGAATAGAGCCTTTTCCTCAATAGGATAACCCAATTTTTCCAAAGATTTCCTAATGTTTTCGTTAAATTGATAACTACCACAAGCAACTAATTTAACCTGTTTAGAATTATCTATAGCAAATTGTCTCATATAATTATGTTTTTCATTCATTAATATCATTTCATTCATATGAGATGGTGAAGATGCCGAACTCTTTCTGGATAATGAAGATTTACTAGGATCCATTTGATTTGAATCATTTTGCTGTTGGTAATATTCATTATGCAATTTATCATCGTCATATATATTATTAATCAAATTATAATGATTATGATTTGGATTAGAATAATAAGTATGAGCATTCAAATTACTATTAGTTAAATAACTTGTACCAATTCCACTGTTGAAATCATTTAACCTTGGTGGAATTACGGGAGGTGGCACAGCATAATTTTGACTAATCCAATCATATAATTTTGTATCATCAATTAATCCACCTAAATCATTCCAAATTGGTGGTGGTCTTAATAAAATGTAAGTGATTTTCAGTTTTCCCTTGAGTATCTGACATAAATAGTCCAAATATTTTGGACATATTAGGTCAGCTATTGTATCATTTGCTACTAATAAAAATAATTTGAAATTGGAATCTAAAGTGGCCGCTTTCTCCATATGATATTGTATCTTATAAAGTAAAAATATTAAATTAAACAAACTAATAATTGAAATAATATTTAATGCTTTAAAAAGGTTGAACTACTTACCAGTTGTAACATTGGTGTGATTCCAGTACCACCACAGACCATAAATAAATAATCCCAACATAAATCTGCCCGTTCTTTATTTAATAATATTCCACTTCTACCATCAAGTAAACTGTATTTATTCGAAGGATTAAGTTGGGTATTAATACTATTGGAGCTTTTTATGCCGAAATTGTTATTATACTTTCTAGCGTCGTTAACTGATAAATAAGTTGGTGATGATGGTCTACTATTTACCGAAGCCGGCTTTAAGGTTGGCGATGAAGATATTTGTGACATTCGATCCGCTATATCAAATGGTCCTCTCACTTTGATTTCAAAATTCTTCAATTGCTTATTCTACAAAGGAGACAAAATTATTTAACCAAACATTTTAAAATATAATTACATACACGATAACGATTCAATTTACTTACCAAATGTTGAGACATAATACCATCTTTATATATTTTAACAAATATACAAAAACTATTGTCAGTTGGTCCCTGAATTGGAGTATATAGTCTAGTAGTCACTTGATTATTAGTAAAACACATTATTTCAATAAAATCACCAGGAAAGAATTTCGGTAATTTATCGTTCTGATGTATAACTTGAAATGTTAATTTTTTAACAGGGTTTGTAGCATTCTGTCTAGTTACGAATTCAATATTGGTTAAAATATATCTTCGGAAAATATTACAACGTAGTGGCTCATTTAGTGGTTGCATCGTCATAATAGGTGCTTTTTCATCACTTATTTCTATCTGTTTAGAGTTTATCCTGGCAATTACCATACTAGCTAATTTAGACGTAGCAAATTTTGAATGACGATGCATCGCAACTCTACGATTCTTAAATGATTTGGAATTTATTATATCAACAGCATTTGCTATGCTATGAGGCTTTATCTTCATGATGTCATTCATTTTGTCTTTATGTGTATTATCCGTTAATACCGAGATACTAGGTCGTGGTACATCATAATCATCAGAATTATTGTTAATAACTATTTGATCCGCTGGATCAAAGAAAAAATCTTGTGTAATATCAGTGCCAACTACTCTTTTTAATATTCTTTGCCCCCCTGGATGTACAGGGATCCATCGATGTATATCAAATACTAATCCCTCTGCTATAACTAAATTGGCTCCCGTCATAACTCTTTTATTAAATTCCTGTAAAAATAAACAGAAAAAAATTCAATTAATATATATATATTTTTTATAAAGAAAAAAAAAATTGGAAAAGAAACCTCTATTTTATTACATACATCCCAAGTAATGACAGGTAAATTTTCAAAAACCTCTTCAGGGATACAATTATGAATCCGTTTTGTCGAATCTTCTGTAAATCTTACCGGCCACAAGAATTGCATATTCTTGATTTTATAATAAAATTCGCTTGTGGTTATCACAAATCCAAAAAAAACTGTTTATGCGCAAAATTTTTTTTTATATAAATTATTATTAATAACGTAAATGTATAACTTATTCATATATAAATAATTACTTACTCAACCAAACTACATAAGCCCAAATGAATTCCTTATTCGCTCCATATACATGCATGCCAAAGAACACATTAACCCTATAGTAAAATATATTAAAATGATAAATTAATTTTTTTTTTTTTTTTCTTTTTTAGTAAATATGAAATACCTACCATGCAGTTAAAAGCAAAATGACACCCAAGTAAAAATGTAAATGCTTTAAATTACGGACAAATCCTGTTGCTGCTGATTCTACATTAGCCAATCCCCAAATCGCCATTATGCCCAAAGAAATTTGTATTATTGTTAAAGCAAATATAGTTAAGCCAATTCTATAATATTTATTAAAAGAAAAAAAAAAAGGTTAAGAATGTGGTTAATTTCTTCATGATAAGGGGTTAAAGAAAATTTACTAACATTGCATGAGGACTCCTCGCGTGTAAAGGTGTTACTGACATGGCTACCGCGGCAAATATCCCTACTATCATTCCGCCAACTAAATTTAAATTTCGATGCTGTACCATATAGCTATCGATATGCCTTAAATATCTGACTATCCATACCGAACCTGAATTAAATTCAGAATAACAAAAAAAAGTTGGTAAAAAAGGTAAATAAATAAATAAACGAACAAATAAATGTTTTTTAATACTTACTTGGAAATAAAACTCCCCAAATAGTAAACATAACAATTCCATGCATCATTAATAATCTCATTCTAGCGTCCTCGATATTAGACATACCGTTCCGGAAATTAACTTTTCTTTTACCACGATTTCCACCATGATAAGTTAATTCATTTGAACTAGGGTTCCAGGCGTAAATCACTAAATAAATCCATAAAAAACGCCGTTATCATACTTTATATAACATTATTTTTACAATCAACACACACTCCTTTTTTTACATACTTTGAATAGTACCATCAATAGATTTTCGATTTTCAGCATTTAAAGGCCGCTTGACTTCAACTTGAGTCATTCCATTCCCAACTTTTGTTGCGCCTAATAATGTCAAATTATCAGGTAATTCCTGAGGTTTAATTCCAATTCCAAGACCTATGTAATACTTTCCAGTGACGGTAATTTCATTAGAACCTTCTTTCTTTTGATTTTGAAATATCATCATATCAGTTCCTAACATGGCATTATCCCGAGGATTAAATCCTATTCCAAACCATGAATTTGTACTACCTAATGTAATCAAGAAAGTAATGTCAGAACCTTCTATTTTCCATTTAAGCATATATCCATCGGAAAGTGTTGTAGAATCCTTATAAGTGCTATTATCTTCATTCATTTTTAATGAATTTGGTGGTTGCACAGACCATAGATTTTGCGGGTATAATGATGATTTTGGGGAATTCCTTATTAAAATATCTAATAAGGTTGTATTTTGAATTTTTGCTATATCTTCTTTACTGAAGCCCGCATCTTCATTTTCATACCAAAATCTGTCGGAATCTCTCATTACTTTCCATTGTTCTGAAAAGCTTTTATGAAATAATTCTCCATAATTTCCCCCATTAATGTGATCTTCTGCTAACCCTCCCATTAATGCTTCAACTCGATCTACGGTTCCATAGGTATCTTCCAGTCTTTTTTGCACATCAGGATCACTTGAGATTTCTGCCCATGATGATTTCCTTGTTAAACCAAATGCTTCTCTTGCATCATTATATAAAGGAATACCGCGATCTCTACTTCGAACGGTATCTAGACTAAAAAAAAATAAGGGTATTAAAAAAAAAATCTAAATACTTGTAATAGATAATAAATGTCTTCTTTATCTACCTGGCAACATCCATTTGTTCTACTGATCGGTGAACATAACTTCGCCTATATAATGACAAATAAAGTGATCTTAATAACAAAATAACTAACAATAAAAAGAAGAAAATAAAAAAAATAAAACTTACATAAAATCAGACATATAAATATCAACTTCTTCTTGTCTATAAAATGATGAGTTGATGATAATTAAAAATATTTAATATTTTTCATCAGTATATTACTATGATAAATTACCTTTGAAGTGCCAACGAGAGAACAATTGATGGAATTCCAAAGGTTTTTAATAGTCCGGGTGCTTGTACATCATTTAATGATAACGTTGTAAGCGGCTTTCCTCCTTCATTTACAATATTATAAAAATCGCTAAGATAATAAAATTAGTAAAATATGGTAATATAATATCAATAAAATCTTTTATCATATTTGGTTTTTACCTAACTTCGGAATGACCATAACGATAAGTTACGGTAGCAAAGAAAGTATTGATTTCAGGTTTAAGATTTGGATTGTATTTCTCATATTTGGGTAAAGGAGCTCCCAACGCAATTCCGACTATGATATTTATATATCATAAACCATATCGTATATTAACTACAATATAGCTAACCAAATACTTATTAAATTATAATACTTACGATATTCAAAATAAGTAATTCTTTGAATAAAAGCGATAACCCATCTTCTAGCTTCCTGAAAATATTGTTCATCTCCCCAACCATTTCCATGAATGGCAAAAAGTTCATCACACAATCGATTATGTTCACGTAAGAGAATTACGTGAAACAAATCAGTAAAAACATTTCTAAATACTGCACCATATCCTAATATGAACCTTCCATTTGCATCAACATATGGATATCCTAACTCCCCATCAGGCGTTGAATTATCTATTTCCAACCTCATTTTCCCGTAATTACCATAATCTCTAATTCGTTGCAGATCAGTATCGTTGTTACCATAAATTGTAGACGCGTCAACAAATGAAGTCGCTTCATTTATTCCTGTATATCCACCTTTTGGATCTGATCGATTAAATGGTAACGATTTCTATAAAAAATTATATAAGGAATGTTTAATGATTCTTATTATAACTACGATAATAAATATTTTACGCTTTACCGTTGTAAAAGTAAAGTTTATTGGTTTTGGACCATTCTTATAGCTAGAGAAATACGATGTATCGTCCTGAGGAATGTAAACGCCTGTTGGGTAATTTACTCCGTAATCTGGTCCAGAGCTAATGTCCATTTTCATGAAAAATCCCCAAAATGTTAACTTTTTTTCATTTAGAAAATTTTAGAAATTGTTATTGAATAGTTAATGTACCGCAGCAAAGAATAATTCTGCGCCACCGTAATTTTTGGGGAACATACTTACAATATGAGAAATATCCCGCTTACTTTTGAATTTCTCCAAAAGTGGTAAATTGAACATATCTTCTTCATTCAATTGCATAGACATCAATTTATTACTAACACACCTAGGCAAAGGAAATATGTCGTTGGGTAATGTAGCATTGCAAGCAATGAATGCGTCTGGGACCTCGGTAGTATAATTTCCTGGCGTAAAAATCATACTATAATTCTCATCTGCGAAATTAGGCTTAGATGGAATATTTCTGACGAATGGAATGTTTGAAGTTCCAATTAATATGTCATTTCGATTATTGCCTTCGCCATTTAAAGACCGATATTCCTGATATGTAATGATTATTAATAAAGAAAGAATTGTGAAAATAATATAAAACAGAAAATTGAACGGTTTATTTTCATATATCATTGTTGAATGAAGATATTATTATTATTTTTTTTTTTCTTTTCCTCTGAAGAAGTACCTATTTAATCATTTTTTCTTAATGACTTTTCATATTTGGAATCATTTACATTTTTTATGCATGATGATCTTTGATCAAATAAAAAAGGTCACATTAGCTTTGTGATTTGGTGACCATAAAAAAAAATTTTTTTTTGCTTTACTCAACTATTGTGTTCAATAAATCGAATTTTATATTATAAAAAAGGCTCTAGTGATGAAACAACGATTTATAATTAAAATTTTATTAATAGCATTAGTACATGAAAAAAGAAATATATATATATATTATTAACGATTAATTTGGTTATAACTTTAGATACTTAAACTTAATAATTAGGGAACGGTTTCAGAAACCATTTGTTAAGTCCGGAGCACAAGTGTAACGAGAGGGACCAACCACGTATCGACTCAAATTTTGAGCGGGCGGACCGGGCACAGACATATATGGGACCTTTGCAATAGAAAAGGGGGGGGGAACTGCTGGAAAAAATTAATTTTACTTTTACATGCCAAATATGATTTTTCGGCCTCTTTTTCTATTGCAAAGGTCCCATATAGTCCTTCCGTACTAATAAAAAGGAACTAATTATAAATGAAGATAAAATAATTTACTGAAATAGCTGAAACAGCCGAAAATATTTCGATTTAAGTTTCAAAGTCAAAATAGCCAAAATAGGTGCTAAAATAGATTTTTATTATCTTGAATTATTAAAATTTTTAACATTCAAAAAATCTAGAACACAAATACAAGAATAATCGCAAATAAAATAATAATTCAATAGATAAAAACCATAGTGAAAAGATGATCTTTTGAACTTAAAGTCACGTGAATTTCTCGGGAAAAAAGACCGTCGATCATTCATTTTAGAGATTTGCAAAGTGTTGATCATTTTTAAAGATCATGACCGATCGGATCCGTTGATCATTTTTTCGGTCCTGTTTAATTTTTAGCATGATTTTATGTTATTAACATGTGATTTATTATTTTTAAAATCATTAATAGAAAATTGTGGAAAAAAAGATATACTTTGTAAAAATTAAATAATGTTATTTTTCTTTAACTTAGATATTTAAAAGCAAACCATCTTGATAAATACAACAAAATGCAATAATAAGAAACAGAATTTTGAAAATGTTAAATCTTAATCATCAAAGTACAAAATAATAAAAATAAATTTTTATTATAATTGATAAGTAACTTTTTATATTGTAGGAAATAAAAAGTTTAATTTAACCAAAATATAAATTACTTAAATATTTAATTAAAGATATGAATATATAAAGATTATAATACTTATATATAAATCTTCAATTTTATTATCAAAAACTTTATTAGCATTAGATATATAAATGTTAAATAAATGTATTAACCATTAATATTTGTTTATTAATAATAATTAAATATACAAGAATTTTGTATTAGATGCTTTTTATATTATATAATTTTTTGTAATCAAAACATAATATTAAAAATAGTAAATATTTTATATAGTAAATCATTTAATAGAAATTATTTTTATACTTTAAAAAACTTAATATATTTATAAATATTATTAAATAAATAAATATATTTAAAGAAATATTTTAAAAAAATGAAACTATTAAAGTTTATTATTAAAAAACCTAGATAGTGATATATATAAAATCTTTATAATAGAAAAAAAAAATAGTTAAAAAAATAATAAATAAGTTAATACTAAATTTAAATATATTTTTATTTAAAAATATATTTAATATATAAAGTAAAATTGATTTTTCTAATAATTTTCTCATTTTTTATTGCAATATCTTATATATATTTAAATTAATAAATAAAAGAAATAAAATAATAGAAGAATAATATAAATTTTTATATAATTACATTATAAATATTTATATATTACATTTTATACAATTATGAACTTGTTAGATTACATTAATAAAAACTTAATTGCTGATCTGCATATAATAGGTAAAAATTAGCATAGTACAACGTGAGACAAAATCATACAAATCACTGCTAATTCTATCACTCTACGTCAAATAAAAAGCTTTAATTACTCATTACCAAAAATAGTTATTAAATTATATTATGTATCACATATTCGCTAAACCACTTAAATAATAAAAAGTATTTTTTTCATTTGATTTTAAAAAGTTTTATATAGGGGAACAACAGATTTCATAGTATTTTCAATATATAATGAGATTTAAAAAATTCTAAATTCAACAAATTCAACTTCTTTTTTGCCACTTTCTAACTTTATTAGGTTTATTGTAAGTAATATTTTTGGTATTTATTTTTTCGTGATGCACATTTTCTTCATTTTTCTCTAATGCTTTTTCAAATATTTCTTTTTTTAAGAAAGTACTATATCTTCCTATCTATCCCTTAATTGTTTTTACCTCTGAAATTTCTTCAACACTAATTTTCTTTTCATTTGCTAATTCTTTTAGACTTTTATGCATTTTTTAGCAGTATACTGATCTTTTTGATTAAGATTATTTACATAAAAATAAGCTTGCAGTATTGTATAACTTTTTTGCTTATTCATTTTCCTCCATCTTTATTACCCATTTTCTGATTTTTCTTTAATGCCCAGCCAGACTTAATGAAAATTCTGAATCAATCTAATAATGTCAAACTAGTTATTACTTTTTTCGATAAAATAGAAAAAAATCAAAAAAATAATTTATCTTATTTGATCTTTTATATTAGATTTATTTTAGTAATAATAGAGTAATGTTATTAATGTTATTATAATCTTTGCAAAACTTATTATCTATGTACTATACTTACTTATTTCAGTTTATAATGAATATTGTATTTTATTATTATATATTAAATCTACTATATAGATAAGTATAGATAAATAATATTCAAATTTATTCAAATTTTATTGATTTTTTGTGTACCTTTCTTTACTGACAATGATGTTAACTATGGCATTTTTGGTTTTATTAGTATTATATACTTAGGATTGGATGATTGATTTTATCACAAAATGTATTTATATTAACAAAAAAAAAATTTTGTCTATTTACCAATATTCAGGAGTGATCTTGCTTTAATATATCCTGCAGATTCTTTAGTTATTAGCTAATCTCATACAAACTATTTGAAAATTCTGGATATAGTTTTGATCTTTTTATTGCTAATATCACTACTATAATTGAGAAATGTAGAATAAAAAAATGAGATATCAATAAATGCTAGTAATGAGTAGTGCTTTCATATTATGGGTTTTTTGCAATGACATTATTTGTATCATGATTTTTAACTTCATTATTATTACCCTTATCCTGGTAGGTTCAATTTGAGTGACTAACATTCTACTTAACTCTTCTATTACTTTTTTTATATCGTTACCTAATGTAAGTTCACAACTAATTTGAATATATCATTTTATTGCATAAGCAATCTTTTTTATCAAAAATTAAATAATATATTGACTAATAAAAGTATAAAATTTTTTAAAATAACAGTTGACATACTATTGTATGATAAGAATCTACAGTTAACTTTACTTTACCAGATTCTAAAAATATCTATCCACGTACTTCAATTCTATACTAATTATACCAATGACTTATAATAGCCATAAGTTCTAAATTATGATAATGACCACTATTATTAGAAATTATTTTTATCTAATGTAGGTAAGCGTTTATATTATTAAATATAGCTTTGAAATATGATGCAGTAAACTAAACATCCTGTTTAGTATTATAAGACTAATGATCATACGCTTGAACATCTATTTGTTTATCACTTTTTTTTGAAAAAGAAGAGTTGTATAAAGGGTCTAACCTCTTTTTCCAAAGAACTCACTTTTTGTTTTTTGAGCTGTTGCAGAAAGGATATGCATTTTATAGTTAAATATTATAACAGCTCGATACTCATTTAATTCATCTAATACTGCATTAAATTGTACACTCAAATATTTTTTCACGTTTGGTAAGCCAGGTAACAGATGAATTTTTCCTGATATTCTAAAAATAATATATTGCAAAAATGGTTTAATATGTAAAACAGAGTTGTAAAAACTTCAAAGAATTAATCATATGTCTCATAATATAAAAAGTGTTGTTCTTTACATTTGCCAAAGGCATATAATAAATAATAGTTAATACAATCTACATAGTTTGTTATATCATTATCATATACTAATAATTTATTTTCATAATTTTTTTAGATGATGGTGAAGTAATTCTAGTTGAGTAATTAATTCATTCTAGCAGCAAAAATTATTTGTAATTAGCATTTGTATAAAATAAAATCAAGTAAAAGTAATTAGATATTTATTTACCTTTATTTTTTTATCTATATTATTATTTGATACTAATTTAATCAAATCTTCAAATAGTTGATAAGCGTAATTATCATAAATAGAGTAAAGTCTTCTCAAATCATCATGATATTTGAATTATTTATTTTGTAAACGAGCCATAAAAGAAATTCGTTTTATTCAATCAGGATATATAGCTAAAAATTTTTCCCATAGTACACTTTTTTGATCTTTAAGATAAAGAACAGGTAATTGTATTTTTTTATCAATATGATATGAGCTCATATTTACATTTATTTTATTAGCAAAAAATATTCAAATTTCTTTTCTTTAATTTCAGCCATTTTTTTACGAATAATAATAGGTTTGTCAACTGCTTTATATCCTAAACCATTCTTATGGTTATATTCACAGACAGTATAAATTATTTTTAGTGAAATCTAGGTAAAATTTCATCAGATTACAGTATTATTTATATATGACTCATATCTTTAATATCATACCTGTAAAATTTTTATCAATTCTTCATAAGTAAAATTTTCTGTAATTATTGATAAAATTCAACCTTTTCTATTTAAACCATTAGGATTAGTATTAAGATTTTCACAAAATAAATACCAAAAAATATTTGTATTACTCTTAAAATTTTTAAACTTTTTATTTCTTATTGTTAAATTTAATTTGGTATTTAAAAAT